GCCCTGGATCTGCACATGGAGACCCTGATCCCAGCTGTGAAAAAGTGCCTCTGCAGGGACACCCCATCCCTCACTCTCCTCTCTCAGCTCATAAACCAGAGACTTAAAATACATCTACACTGCATCCACACACACCTGTCTATGTGTATGTATGCATATACATATACACATTCATATATCTATACAGATAAAAACACAAACCAAGTTTAACTTTGAGAAAAGCCAAGGCTTTGGGCTGCCTGCCCTACACACTCCTCCTCTCTCTGTCTGCAGTCACCTCTAAAAGTCCCTGCCACTGTGCATCAATTTCGCCATTAAAGAAAGAAACACTCTAAAAATAAAGGCCCCTCTATCCCCTTCCCCTCCGCCCCAAAATAAAAAAAAAATTAAAAAAAAGAAAAGAGAATAAATTAAAGAAAAAAAGAAGTGATAGAAGAGCATGCCTCTGGCTTAGCTGAAGAAGATCCAGTGCAGAGCAAGGGCTGCTATCCCTCCAGTTTCAGAGAGTGACACGGACCCTTGCTAGGGAAATCAAAAAAAGTAAGATAGAGGGAAAAAAGCGCAAGTGAACATGTGCGTGCGTGCAAGCAAGCTCAGGTAGGAAAACTTACATTGCTGGCTGGTGTGCCTGGCAGATCCTGCGAGGGCTGTGATTTGTATCCCAATGGCCCCCCTGTTCTCCCTCCCAGCCCCAGCAGTGTCGGGGCACGCAGCGTGTGGAGGCTCTCAGGCAAGTGCCATTCCTAGAGGGAGGCTTGGTTTTTACTAATACCCTGGCTGGATGTCTCTAGCTGGCTTTGCTGCTTAGCACCGGGGGAGGGAAGGGCGGAAGGTGGAGCCAAGCACTCCTCAGAGTCAGAATATGGTCGGTCGGGGACAGCGGGGAGGGGACGCAGGCAGCCCCCAACCCCACCTCGGCTGCCAGCACGTTCCCCACTTTCCCCCGGTGCCAGCTTCTTCAAGAGAGCTGCTGGCGTTGGACTGCTCTCAGTGGCATGGCCGCCCCAGAGATGGTGCTGGAGAATTCAGTCCGGGGGGGGCGGGGGGTTAGGGTGATGGGAGAGGTGGGTGTGCACCCCAGGACTAGGATCCCCCTCCTTCCCCTGGCTAGTACAGTTGCTTCTGCAGGGTCTGGTGACCTCCATGCACCAAATGAGTCCCTGGTCCCCATCACAGAGTCTCACCGGGACCCTGCTGTGCTGCAACAAGTTGGCTCGAGACCCCAGGGTCAGGACACTGCCAAAAGGGCATCCTCATTTAGACCTCAATCTGCAGGGTGGGGAAGGGGATGCAGGAGGTCAGGGGTGTCCCGAGGATGGAGGACATCAGGTCCAGGGAATATACTGTGCTGCTGGATGGTGTATACCAGTTTGAACTCTCAGGACTTTTGTACCCTAGAGATGGGCTTGTCATGACATGTTTGCCTCTGTGGGGTCTTGCCAAGACAAGCAGGCTCTGCTTCCTTCCACATGCTGAATTGCTCCTGAAGGCAAATGTAGGGTCTTTCATTAGAAAAGAGAACAAGAAGGACTCTCTCACACTCACTCACCCTCTTTCTGGCTGCTTGTGCACTGGAACACATAGATCTCAGCACTCCATGAGTTAGGATGTTCTTCATCACATCTTCCATTTTCTAGCTTGTTTTCCTTCCCAGATGCCTCTGGTATCTTGGTTCTTCAGTTTCCTTTGTCACCGGGGCTGATACAGACCAACACCAACCCTGTACTACGAGGGATTACCCACAAAGAATCTGATGATCCTCCCAGGCCCTCCTGGGCTAGGAATGAGATAAACCTAGCTCCTGCTCCAGCTCCTCGCTGCAGAGCCAACCTGAAAACACTTCAGTGCTCAGTCAAAAAATATAAAGAAAGAAATGAATGTGACCCAGGGAACCAGCTTCAAGGGATTTCAAGAACATTTTAACTCCTGTAGCAGATATGTACTCTCCAGAAACTTTGTGTTAGAAAGACCCAGAAAAATCACTGGCTGGTACCACATGAAGCGTAAGGGAACTAGTCCCAAGGATGGTGCTGAGCACCTGAGCTAAAGACCTCAGAGCAAACCTGTGGGGCTGGCCACTGCCCTTGCAGACCTGGCTGACAGCATAGGGCCATTTCCCTTCACGTCTGCTCTTAAGTTAGCAAAGTTCTGAAAACATAGGGTGACTGCAGGGAAAACCTTACTAGAGCCAGTGAGAAGTCTTTATTGAACAGAGCTGGGAGGGGGAACAGCTGCATGCCGTTGGCATCAAGCAGGCAGAGGTGCTTAAAGGTACCTCTTGCACCCCTCAAAAAAACCTCTCAGGCAATCATCTCTTTCTTCTCTTCAGCATTACCTACTCCAGTAAAAAAGATGGGCTCAGATGGGCTCGAATACTTTTCCTTTGGAAGAGAGGAATATGTGTGCCTTTGTCATGGATCCAAGAAAACCCAGTGGAGGGCCTAGCAAAACAGCATCGAGGCCCAGCTTCCTCAACCAAAGCAGCAGCCGGTGAACCTCAAGTCCTGCAGTATGGGGTGAGTTCTCTCACCAAGAAAGACCCTGGTTGTGGTTGTCAGGAGGAGGAGTCTTGCAGCATGGACAGGGGCACTTTGACAGCTTACCCTCTGTCTGGCAGACAGATAACCTGAGAAAACAAATTGGACAAGGACAAAGTTGCCCATGCCCCACTGGATGCAGTCACTGATGCTGCAGAGATCATGGCATCTTCCCACAGCCAACAAGGATCATCCTCAAGCTGCAGGGACCCTGCATATTACATGTGGGAGAACTGCAGGGTTGGTCTGTCCCACAGGCTGATAGCCACTGCCAAGAAACACTGCCCTGATTGTTCCCCTGTCTGCAGCCAACCTCCAACCTGGGGCAGGGAGGAAGAATGCCACAGAAAATGGCCAGAAAAGGCTGTTTATTTGCCGTCCCTTCAGGTGGCTGGTTTCTGTGGACACCCTGGGAAAGAGGGCAGGTATTTCTCATTTCCCTCCAGAGTGGGGATACAGGGTGCTGGGCATCAAGTGGTAGGGAGTGAGAGGCCAGGGCTCCTCCTAGCACTTTGATGGAGAAGATCCCCAAACAGGAGACAAAGGAGCACCACAGGGCACTGAGAGGAGCTTCAAAGTCTGCTCAGCTCATACCCCAAATGCAGCTGCCTCTTGGCAAGCTCTGTGGGGAGAACAAGACGGTGCTTGATCCCAGAAAGACAGTGAGTGATGGGGGTCACATCTTCCTGCATGCCCACAGGGCATGGGTGAGCAGAAAGGGATCAAACCCTGAAGGGATTTCAGTAACTCACAGGGCTCTGAATCGGTGTTTGTCCCACTGCTCACTACACCTGCTACCTGTCAGACAGGAGCTGAGTCCCATTTGTGCCTTGTTGGAAGAGCTGTGGGTGCCTCAGCTGCAGACAGGGACAATCTCAAAGGAATGGGTACCAGCCACACGGTCTCTGCAATCTGCAGTGTCAAGTGTCTCCTCACACCTAAATGGCAGGGAAAGGGTTTTTTCCCTTCATTTTGCTTTTTTGCATTTCTTACCTTTTGTCTCCTTTGGTCTTGCCTCCGCTTTCTGAACTTTCTTTCCCTAAGCATCTTTTTCCCTGTTTTCAGCCCCCTCTCACAGCACTGACTGCTCGAATATCCTTTTTCAAGTCTCTTCTGGCCATGTGTTTTCTCTTGTGCTACAGAGAGGTAGATGCAGGAGAGACAGCTGTGGAAAATATACCTCTACTGCAGCAAGAAGAGGTGTGACACTTTCTATTCAGCTGAGGCGAGAAGACAGGCAGAGGGGAAGGAGAAGAGACCATCCCTGTTTCAGAAATCACTGGGGTGGCATGCCTCTTACTCCATTGTCTCCTGGGAGCCCTTCTTATAGACAAGGACGCTCCAAGAGGCACCACTGGCCACAGAAGCTAACATTGAAGAAGTGGTCTTTCTAAATGCAAGTCTTCCTAATGACTGGTCCCTGGGGAAATGCTCATATAGCAGGTTTCGACCCCTTCTTTTCAGCATATATTTCTATGGATGAGGTGCTCCAGGTCCATAAAAACCGACAGTCCTTTGCAGGTGAAGGATCTACCAGTGAAGGTAGTTCATGAGCCAGAGAACTTGCTAAGCCACAAGTTTCCTGTGACACGTCAGTGAAATGTTTTCTTGGGGCCTCAGTCCCCAATATGCCAAGGTGGAAGGATGCCACTTCTCCACCATAAAGCCATGTTGGGAGGGCAATGGGTAAAAGTGGGTTGGGAAATAGAGATGTCCCACTACACTAGGTGCCCCTAAGCCTGCACTGCTCCCAAGGGTAATGGGAAAGGCACTCTGCTCTGGGCTGAGTGCTTGGCAAGCAAGGTGCATCATCATATGGGCAGGCAGGGACACCTGCTCAGTAGGGTTTCAATGAGGGGACCACATTGGTGGGACACTTCCACCACCAAGGTGGGACCACTGAGGTTGCTGAGGAAGGATTTTGCTAGATGAAACCCATCCCATGCACCCATATCAAGGGAAGAGTAAGAGAGGAGAGCCTGTCTGCAGCAGAGGAGCAGCAGGATCCCCAATGCGAGAGCCAGGGCCAGCTTTTGTCCCCTACCCAGCTCAGGGGCACAGCACTGGTATTGTCCCAGGACTGCCTGGGAAAATGGGAGGGGTTCCCTGTGAAATCTTTCCATACAGTAAAACAGCGTCAGAGCTGGGGAGCGAGGGGGGAATGACACAGACATTCAAAAAAATACACACACCCCCCAACCAAACAATACCCGCAGTGTGCTGAGGGAAAGGGAGACCCATGAATTGGGAGTTTGATAAGGATTTTCTCCCGCGTGCGCCTGCTCTCTCAACAGCCCCTTCAGTTTTCCCAACACCCCCCCTCCTTTCCTTGCCGGCTTTCTTGTTTGGGCCTTAAACAGTGCGCCGTCTTTGTTCAGGATACAGGTGAACTGCAATCATGTGATTAACACACACTCACACACACACGCGCGCGAGCGCACATAAAAAGCTTTTTAAGAGCGTCCAGCTTGCTCCGGACCCGAAGACTGGAGAGGAGACCCAGGCTAGGAGGAGCTGAGGCGGCAGCGGTGGCTGGGATGGGGACAGCCACGGGGATGGACGAGCGGGCGCCACCGCCTCTCTGCAAAATCCCCTTCCCATGGAGGTGGGCACATGAGGCAATGATGGGCAGAAGGGGTGGCGGGGGGCAAGGTTTTGGATTTGGAGATGGGAGAGGGTCTTGCCCCTGCTGCCTTCTCATCCCCTCTGGATAGGCTGGTGTGGGTTTGAACTGTCTGTGTCTCTCCGTGATGCTGTGGGAAGGACAGGGGGTGAACATCCCAACATTGTGCCAGGGTGGGAGATGCAGAAGTGTCCTCTCCCTGTCAGGGAGGGGAGACAGGTTTCCCATGCCAAAGCCAAGCCCTCAACGGTTCCCATGTGTGATTTGCATCTTCATCTGCCTGAGGCTTGTTGGTCCCACTGTGGCTGGAGGGGAGGGCTTGGTGAGGAAGAGGAGGGGGGCAGTCCTCCTGCTAGAAAGCAGGGGGATGTCCCCTTGTCCAAGCTGTGGTGCAGGGAGATCTGAATGGATTTGCTCAGTCCCATGGTGGCCCAGGAGGGAGAAAGAGAAAGGGAGAGGACTAGGCAACCCAGGCGGTCGTGAGAGTGTTGTGGATGACAGAGACATTCCCTCTGCCCCAGCTAGAAACAGTATATCCAACATACTCAGTGAGAACTGCATGCCACCTCTGGTGTGGAGATGCCACGGGCCCTATCACACCTCATCACCATGACCACAAAATAGCTGGGAAACTGGTTACTCAGTCCTGGGGGGAAGTGGAGGCTAGTGAGGGGGTGGGCAGGTGACCATCTGAACAATCCACAGAAAGAACAGTAAAAAATAGAAATGTTTCAAATGGTCACTCCTTTTATTTGAAGATGTCCTGAGTGTGATTCTCCAAGGAAAAGTGGGAAGGAGCAAAGGGAGAGGCCACCATAACACTTGGAAAATCTATGGGTCTGCAGCTGGTCTCACTCGTGAGACATCATGGGACATGATTGATGGCAGCCTGGAAGAGATCAGGACCAGGTCGTACCCTTTGCTGAGCACCCAAGCCCAGCCCTGTCTCCACCACTTCCTCATGCCCTTCTCTACAAATTCCTCCTTGATCTGATGTCACGACCGCCATTCCAGGATCCCAGCATGAGGGTTGTTTTCAAGGCTTTTCCAAGCCCACGTTTGTGTCACCCTCCAAGATTCCGTGGTGGCCACAATCCCCAAAGAGCCCTTCAATTTGCCTTGTGCCACAGGCATCCTTCTAACAGGGAGCTGGGCACAGGAACCACTGCTGGGCTCTGGTTTTCATCACCCCTCACTGTTTTGTGCTGAAGCTCGCAATATTGGTTCTAGACCTTCCCAGATGCCTTTTTGCTTCCAGGCATGGGCACTGGTGAAGTGTCTGCCTGTGAAACAGCCCAAGGAGAAATAAAGCTGTGTGGGCACTCAGGAAAAGCAAAGAGCTGACTGCAGCCCTGCCTGGGTTTTGGCAGCACTGCACCACATCCATGTGGACAGTTAGCTGCAGGGGGTGTGCAGTAATTTTTGTCATGGGCTATCAGGGGAAACAAAAGGCAGACAATGCCTGGAGTTGTTTATTGCCTGACTGGGTTGTTTGTCAACGCAGTTGTCCTGCATGTGGCAGCAAAAGAAAGGCCACAGTGGTTGCCCTCCTCTGGGGTTATCATTCCCCATGGGCAACATGGCCTGGGTGATGCCAATTGCTGCGTGGCCCTGTGCTCCCATCACCCCAGGCTGGGATGGGAGTCCTCGGGAAGTTCTTTGAGGACTGGGTCTGGGACATGGTTGCAGTGTCCCACCCAGGTCCGGAGCAGGAGAAACCCCATTCCCTCTCCAAGGCACAGTGACGGCTGCCGCAGGTGCAGGAAACCATGCCACTGCTGTCACTGGTGTGGATGCCTTGATGTGGCTGAGCAGGAGACTTTGCTCAGCAGCATTTTTTGCTCTAAAGCAGTGGATTACAGTGCCAGCTGCTTCGGAAAGGAGACGTAGGGAAAACATGGAAAGGAGAGAGGACAGTCACCTCTGAGCATTGCAAAGACCCCAGGGAGCTCCCATCTTGTTGTCTTGGCCAGCCCAATGTTTCATGGGCATGGCAAGGACTTGTTATGACTAAATGGGACAATTTTCCTGCATTACTCAGGTCTGGGAAGATCAAAGAGGAATGGGGTGAGCATGTCTGTCTGCTACCTGCTTTGATGGGTGGCACGGAGCCTCCCTGGCTGTTAACCCCCTCACCTCCTGCTGGAGAGGCTAGGTGTACTTCCAAAAAGCAAAGTCCAAAAAGCAAGCGCTGAAGGGGTGGGGAGCTGGGGGAGAAGGGGGCTGATTTTGCCTCTTCCCACATGGAGTCTGGCATATTCAACGTGATGTAATGGAGGAAGCTGGGTGCCCTCAGTCTTCATGACAGAGGAGAGATGCCCAGAGAGGGGTGGAAGGGAATTTTACAAGATCAGGCAGAACAACCAGAAAAAGGGGACCCTCCCAACAAGACCTGTGGTTGTAGCAGTGCTGGGTGACCCCGGTGGGCTTGTTCAGTGGTGGCTGAGGTGGTTCCGGGGTGTTCTTCACCTCTGCTGGTCCTCTGATTGCAGGGAGGCTCCTGGGGAGCCAGGGGAAGGGTTAAGTTGGGAAGGCTTCAGCCTGCTGCCTTGGCCCCTGTAATTCCTCCAGAGAGTAGGACTGGGAGAACAAGGAGCCCTTTCTGTTCACAGGAATTAATAGCAAAGAGTCATCTGGGGTGTCATTCAAGCCCTGATCAGCTCCCGGAGGAATGCAAGAGAGAGCGAGCAAGGGAGCACAGCCTGAGGCCGAGGCACCAAAGCCAGGGCAGGAGCAGTTCAGCTGGTAACCAGCATTACTGACTGGCATTTGGGCAGCGGGACCATCTTCCCCTTCACCCCAGCCTCTGTGTCCCCTCTGCCCTGTGCAGGGGCTCACCCTGACACTCATACTCAAAGGGCTCCTACCAGCACTTAAGCTTGTTATCCATTGCTTTCTCGGGGTGGC